GCCAATCACACGCCAATCAAATGCCAATCACACGCCAATCACACGCCAATCACACGCCAATCACACGCCAATCACACGCCAATCACACGCCAATCACACGCCAATCACACGCCAATCACACGCCAATCACACGCCAATCAAACGCCAGGCGCACTCCAATCACACGCCAATCACACGCCAATCACACGCCAATCACCCGCCAATCACACGCCAATCACACGCCAATCACACGCCAATCACACGCCAATCACTCGCCAATCACTCGTCAAGCACACGCCAATCACACGCCAACCAATCGCCAATCACACGCCAATCACACGCCAATCACACGCCAATCACACGCCAACCAATCGTCAATCACACGTCAATCACACGCCAATCACACGCCAATCACACGCCAATCACACGCCAACCAATCGTCAATCACACGCCAATCCCCTTGCGGTTCATATGAAGCAGAAAACAAAACATTCGATGGTAATGACTAATAAGTCAAGTGAAACAAAATGTCGTAAACTAAGCGTCAGGGGTTTAACTGACCCACTGAGATGGACACATATTGTCTTAGACATTTCCCATGGCACTTCCTCCAATTTATTAGATATTACAGTAATTACAGTAATACTGTTACTGTATAAAAGTTAGCATTCTCAACCCAGAAGTCGATATTGTAACTTCTATTTCGATTGACAGCTTGACTACGGCGATCCAGATGATTTGGACGTTGAGACCGACTCAAGTCAGGATGAGGAGGTAACCCATCAAACAAGATTATGGAGGAGGAGAAAGAAAAAGTGGGGAGGGGTGTGGTTTGGGGGGGAAAAAGAAAGTGTACAAAATCAAATCTTTTTTCTATTGACAAATTCAAGAAATGTATTTGATGTGTTTCAAACCCCCCTCCCCCCCCCCCCAATTTTTTGTTTTGTTTTACCAAACCTACTCATTTTAATTTATACAATTAAAAATACAGGACAGAGGCTTTCAGCTGAGATAATTACATTTCCATGGTAACCGAAGTGTTTTATACCAAGCTCGTCATTAAAATTATTACTTTTCATTATACCTGGAAACGTTATTGCAGATTGTCTCTCCACCAACTTAAGGCCTGAAAAAAAAATCGGCATTGTCTTTAATCCTCTACATGTTCAAGCCCTTTGAAGTCTATTGGACACAGAAATCACATAACTACTGGCCAAGGCCCAATTTAAAAAAAAAAAAAAAAGCTTTTACTCAAAAAAAAATCGGCATTGTCTTTAAACCTCTACATGTTCAAGCCCTTTGAAGTCTATTGGACACAGAAATCACATAACTACTGGCCAAGGCCCAATTTAAAAAAAAAAAAAAAAAAGCTTTTACTCAACTGCATATAAGCGATTAAGCCTTCAACAATAATCAAAATAGTGATAACTTTTCTTCATTATTTCAGTTGTTCTGAACATCAATCTATTCCACGCCTCACTGAGCCCTATAGTCCTTAGCGCGTCCTAAACTTTATAAATTTTTCATGCAACATTTGTTTAGAAAATCTTTACTTTCTGTCGTAGAAAAATAACATGATAAAACGCTAAAGACTAATGTAAAATTAAACTTTTAAACCTAACAAGAGGAACTTCTTATTTCTATTTAATCCAGGGATAAAGAGATTCGCCTAATTTGGTGATAACAGCTTGTCAAATTTTGTATGATTATTGAGCAAAGAGTTTTAGATATCAGATACTGCCACTCATTTTTGTTCGGTCATCTTTGTGGATGTCTATCGTGTGCAGTTTTCTGGTAATCTTGCTTTTACACTTCCTTCCCCATCAAGGACAAGGCAGTCAGAGTCGCGTCGCTGAAAGCGAGGAAGCAGAAGGTCGTCAAGAAACAAGAGGACACGGCCAAACGCCAGAGCGATATGCTGAAAGCTTTTCAGAAACGCTTCGCTCCCAAGGACGCAGTGGGTGACAACGACCTGGATGTGGAGGGCCAGCCAAACACGGGGGGTGGAGATGACGGGGCGGAGCAAGCAGGGGACGAAGAGGCAGGGGAGGAGGAGGCAGGGGACGAAGAGGCGGGGGAGGAGGAGGCAGGGGAGGAGGAGGCAGGGGAGGAGGAGGAAGCAGAAGAGGAGGAAGCAGAGGAGGAGGAGGCAGGGGAGGAGGAGGCAGGGGAGGAGGAGGCAAGGGACGAGGAGGCAGGGGATGAGGAGGCAGGGGATGAAGAAACAGGGGAGGAGGAGGTTGTTGAGAGTGAGCCCACGTCCGATTACAGCACGGACTACCAGTACGGAGAGGCCGACACCACGTCAGAAGATGAGGCACCCCCAAGGAGGACAAGCGTGCGTAGAAAAGTGGACAAAGTCTCCTTAGACATTTTCTCTAAAGATGAAGACAGCAGCTAATTTTCAGTGGCGTGTCTGTATGACGCCAGAAAGGGGTTGCTTCAGTGGCGTGTCTGTATGACGCCAGAAAGGGGTTGCTTCAGGGCGTTTCTGTATGACGCCAGGAAAGGGTTGCACTGGCAAGGTTTAAACTGTTGTTGGAAATTCTTTTTTTTTTTTTTCTCTCAATTTGTATCATGCTGCCTGAAGTCATTGACGCGGTTCAAACGTGGTTAGGTTAATTAGGTTATGGTAGGTTAGATTAATCAGGCTATTGTAGGCTAGGTTACTAAGGTTATGGTAGGTTAGGTTACTTTGGTTAGGTTACTAAGGTTACGTAGGTTAGTTTGATTAGGGTATGATGGGTTAAGTTAATTATGTTATGGTAGTTTAGGTTTATTAGGTTATGTAGATTAGGTTAATTGGGGCATGGTAAGTTAGGTTAATTGGGGTATGGTAGGTTAGGTTAATTAGTTTATTTTAGGTAAGGTTAATTAGGTTATGTTAGATTAGGTTAATTATGTTATGGTAGGTTAGTTTAATTAGGTTATGGTCGGTTAAAATTAATTAGGTTATTTTTTTGTTAGGTGCTAATTACTTTTTTATATTTTTTCATTAGGTTATGGATGGTTAAGTTAATTAGGTTATGGTAGGTAAGGTTAATTACGTTATGGTAGGTTAGGTTAATTATGTTATGGTAGGTTAAGTTAATAAGGTTAAGCTAGTGTTAGGTTAATCAGGTTATGCTAGGTTAGGTTACTAAGGTTATGATGCAAAATGTTGTTATGCCAGTTAAATCAGAAAGACTATCGATATTTTTTAGCTAATGTTCTTATAAGACCTACAATTATAAAATGATTAATGACATTGTATCAGATGACAGACTATATCAGATGACACCAGGCTAGATCAGATCCTTTCTTTTTAAAAAAATAATTACATTTCTTTCAGTTTCATTCTTTGCTTCAGAAACATCTTCATTAAGCTTCTGGAAGATTCATGTTTTGCTTTGTAACAGTTTTTGTTAGCTTCATCCAGATTCTGTATGTTAATAGTTTAATTCTTTCAGATTCAATCAGTCTTTAAAGATTTAAATTTCATTCAGTCTGTCTTTTTCTGTGTCCGAGACTGTCAGATTTTATCAAATCGTAGAATTTGTTGAATTTAGTGGCGTTTGTTAAACTGTATTAGTTGCATTTGTTGAACATTATTTCTTGAAATACACCTATGACATTTGTTTTATCTCTACGTGTAGCATTTGTTAAATTTAATTTCTCTTCAAACCTTTAGTCAGTACTTTGCTGCAGTTGTTCCAATCTTCTTGTTGAACGTGTTATATTTTTATTGATGTTCAGTTCAACGCTACTTGTAGGGTTTCAAAAAAACGTTATATCTAATGAATTTTATTGAAATTTGTTGATTTGTGCTTTTTTTACCCCTCTAATTTTAGTACCAGCTCAATCACTTGTAATCCAGCGAGCTCTGGTTTTAGTTCCTGCACAACCACTTGTATTTTAGCGAAGCCCGGTATTAGTTCCTTCAGTCACATGTAATCTAGCGAACAGTACATTTTGATCTAATAAAACTTGCATTGAATTCCTGGATGAACGAGGTATCATCCTCTTAACACTACTTTGTCCAGACAACACGACTTTGTCCAGACCCACCCATACATAAACACTATCCTCCACTGTAATACCTACTCTCCAACCCCGGTGAGGGCCTACCAACCCAGATGACGGCCTGCTACCCAATCCTAGGGTCGATCTTCCAAATCTATAAGTGATAGAAGTGATGGCAGACATCAGTGGCGTAAACAAAGGATAAGGACGCCTGAGGCGGACCAATAATTTCACCGCCCCTTTCCCCGGAAAAAAAAAACCAACTCTGGAGTCGGCCGAAAATTCCGCCCCTTCCATAGAAAGACAAATTTCCGCCCGTGGAGCCCTTTAAACCTTTTCCTACGCCATTGGTAGAACTCCCTGCCGCACACCTGAATCTATCTGCAAACTCAGTTTCATCTCATGAATAACACTTTAGCCAATGACAATATATTTCTTAATTTATGTCATTTGTTGTATGCAACAACATAGTGACGCAATAGTTGTGGACGGTTTTTTTCCGTCTCAAAATGATAAATATTAATGAAGAGAATGTACTTACTGTCATTGCACTGCTCAAATATATTCTAAAGGTGGCTTTTGGGTCCGGACGGTGATCTTGTCTAAATCCTGCGTGTTTATCTACATTGCGCGTATTCAAAACATTTTACCAGGGATTGATAGCCCTGTAGATTTATAGCATTATGATGGTCGATGAAGCTTTAGAGCATATGATAAGTAATGCAATGACCGTAATGCAATGACCATTGCAGTTTGATAGCCTCCATCATTTGATATACGACACCACCCCCCCACCCCGGTAGTTTGTTAGAGAATGCCCCCCCCCCGTAATTTGTAGTTTGTAAGTCTGTTAGAGCCCATTTCTTTGTAGAAGCTTTACAAGATGTCACCCACCCCCCTCCCAACCCCTGTATTTCCAATATTTTAGAGCTGAGTTTATAATTCAATGTGTCCGCCCATGTTTCATCCGGCCATGCAGATGCCACCTCATTTAATCTCATTTACCAAATAAAAGTCGGTTTACGATATATATCTATTGTTTAATCCATTATCAAGGGTCATTGTGGTATAGCGAGGATGAAAAAATGTTTCCTACAATAGCAATTATAGACGTCCAGTGGAGAAAATAACAGTTGCATTTCCAGCAGTTCAAAAATTCAACCGAATATATACATAATATATATTATAAATATATAAAATGAGCATGCGATAAAGCAAAAACACAGCCTGTGAATAGAGCTTATATTTATTAATCAATATCTAACCCTGGAAAGTAACAAATCATTGGCTGGCTCAATATTCTCAATAGACTTCTTTGGGGGACTGAATCAAACTAACAATTGGGCTCAAATATATACAACAATGACCTTTCAATGTAAATGACTCATAATTCAAATGCTTCTATATATTTCACATGCTTCTTTTTTACAATTCATATGTTTCTATTTTATAATTCATATGCTTCTATTATACAATTCATAATGGATTTCAAGTGTAACTCATAGTGGGTTTCAAGTGTAACTTCATTGGCTTAAAAATGTAAATATGAATTGGCTTGAAATATAAATAATATTTTTTAAATTATAATTATATAAATCACAACTTGTGAAAACTAAAAGATGGAATACACGAAAATTGTACAGATCAAATGCCTAAATTATCTCTGAAAGCACCACTTTTGCACCACTCTTGCACCACCTGTCAGTTATGTGGACAAAAAAGTATGCAACCAAGTGCTTTGAGAATTCCGTCAGATACTTCTACGGTACCAATAAAAAAACGAAATAGCCGAATATATAATTTAAGAAAATGAACATAACAAATTTAACATAAATGAACTATCCAAATGCCACCTTGTGTAATCCTTTTCAATAATCTTCAACCTCTTCTTCTTCGTCTTCTCCCGCTTGTGGGCCAGAGTCAACACCAACCTCCTCGTAATCTTTCTCAAGAGCAGCCAGATCCTCACGAGCCTCAGAGAACTCTCCCTCCTCCATGCCTTCACCAACGTACCTGAAAGAGGAAGGGGAAAATATGAGCAAGTTGAATAAAAGTATATGGATATTTAGGGTTAAGGTGGCATTTTTCCGTCTTCATGAGACGATGGGGTAGCTTCTATATTATTGACCCTTTCCCCGCATGACTTACGAGGACAATCCTGGAGCGGCAGCCAATGCTTCATTTCGCCAATGCTTCATTTCGCCAATGCTTCATTTCGCAAATGCTTCATTTCGCCAATGCTTCATTTCGCCAATGCTTCATTTCGCCAATGCTTCATTTCGCCAATGCTTCAGTTAGCCAATGCTTCAGTTAGCCAATGCTTCAGTTAGCCAATCCTTCAGTTAGCCAATCCTTCAGTTAGCCAATGCTTCAGTGAGCCAATGCTTCAGTTAGCCAATGCTTCAGTTAGCCAATGCTTCATTTAGCCAATGCTTCATTTAGCCAATGCTTCATTTAGCCAATGCTTCATTTAGCCAATGCTTCATTAGCGGAGGAAATTATTATACATGTTAAAAGATAAAACTAATTACCAGTGGACAAATGCACGTTTGGCATACATGAGGTCAAACTTGTGGTCAAGTCTAGCCCAGGCCTCGGCAATAGCAGTGGTATTGCTTAACATGCATAATGCACGCTGGACCTTAGCCAGATCACCCCCAGGGATGACTGTCGGCGGTTGGTAATTGATGCCAACCTGAAATACATATACATTAAATAACATCAAACGACAACAAGTAGGCTAAATTCTTTTTTCTTAACATACAATGTCATTTTAACGCGGACAAACGCTACCGTGTATGGAACAATCAAATGGTATAACTGGAAACGTCGTCTACCTTGAAGCCAGTGGGGCACCAGTCGACGAACTGGATGGTCCTCCTGGTCTTGATGGTGGCAATGGCAGCATTGACGTCCTTGGGGACGACATCACCTCTGTACAGCATGCAGCAGGCCATGTACTTGCCATGACGCGGGTCACACTTCACCATGGTGTTGGCTGGCTCAAAGCAAGCATTGGTGATGTCAGCTACCGAAATTTGCTCATGATAAGCCTAAAATGTGAAGCAGCGGATGATTTTTTTTAAAAATTAATGGGATGCGATAATATACATTCAAAATTTATGAAAGGTACAATTGTAATTCCGCCCCCCCCCCCAATAATTAATTATAAATAGAGAAGCAAATGGAAGTGGTCGAAAGCTCTACGATATCCTTCGACTATCACATAACCTTAGTGATATTTAGCACACAGATTAAAACCATGCTGATGAATTTATATACGTCACCATTCCAAAGGGCGATTACTACGATGTTTAGAAATGATACCGGCTGCCTGAACATTATGCACGTTCCACAAACAATACCTTCTCAGCGGAGATGACTGGGGCATAAGTTGCAAGTGGGAAATGAATGCGAGGGTAAGGAACCAAATTGGTCTGGAACTCTGTCAAATCTACATTCAGGGCACCATCAAACCTACAGAGATGGAGTAGAAAATTACGCGGAAAAGATTATACCTTATAATTATATAACATTAAAACATAGCTTTAGACATAATATTACATCATAGCTTTACTAGACATGACTACAACATAGCTTTACTAAACTGAATACAACTTACAACATATCTTTACTAAACCGAAACTACAACATAGCTTTACAAGACAATATATTAAAACAGCTTTACTAGACAATACTCAAAAATATAGCTTTACTAGACAGAATACTCCACATAGCTTTACTAGACAGAATACTACAACATAGCCTTACAAGACAATATTAAAACATGGCTTTACTAGACAATACTACAACATATAGCTTTACTATACAGAATACTAAAAAACATTTTACTAGACAGAATACTACAATATAGCTATGCTAGACAGAAGAAGAAACAAATCAATTTAACAGAAAAGGACCTGAAGATGGTTTCTATATAAAATGTCTGGAAATGTTTAACAACTTAATCATCAAAAAGACCTGAGCGATGCTGTGACCGATGAGACGATCTGGGCGACCAGGCGGTTGAGGTTGATGTAGCTGGGACGCTCCACGTCCAGGTTGCGCCGGCAAATGTCGAAGATTGCCTCGTTGTCCACCATGAAGGCGCAGTCCGAGTGTTCCAGGGTGGTGTGGGTTGTCAGGACCGAGTTGTACGGCTCCACCACGGCGGTGGAGATCTGGGCAAAGTGAGGGGCGAAGGGAGGTGTGTGTTTTTAAATAGTTGAATGCAATTGTACGAGCGTGTAACAAATGTAGGCACAAGTTATAAAGAAATAATATCTGGAATATCTTTTTCAACTGTTAAAAGAATGACCACGATACACACGCATGAATCATGAACGGCCTAATGCTGTTAGTAAAAATGTTACCTTCGGGGCTGGGTAGATGGCAAACTCCAGCTTGGATTTCTTGCCATAGTCAACGGATAGTCGCTCCATAAGCAGGGACGTGAATCCAGATCCTGTGCCTCCGCCAAAACTAAATAAAGACAGAAGTATTACAAGGTTATATCTCTTGGTGGTGTTCGTCTTTCGCATGCGAAGATGACCAACGCTATGATCAGAGGGAGACAGTCATTTTATTTGTGCTTGAAAAACTCCTAAAACCTAGGATACCCGTTGTTTTGGGTCCTAGTTGGAATAGAGTCGATTCTATTTTTCCTTGCTGTGTGTTCTCTTTAGGAATGAGTGGTACCCTTACTATGAGGATTGTGCCCCTACAGTGGTACAAACGTTATCACTCTTTCATCGACAATGTTTTACAGAGATTTAAAAAAAAATTAACCTGAAAATGCGAGACTGCATTAATATTACTGAATTTTAAAAAGGTAAATCAATCTATTTCGACTTAACAGTTGCATTTTTTTTTTTACAAAGCTAAACTGACCTGTGGAAGATTAGGAATCCCTGGAGACCAGAGCATTGGTCAGCACACTTCCTCATGCGGTCGAGTACAAGGTCGACTATCTCCTTTCCGATGGTGTAATGCCCTCTTGCGTAATTGTTGGCGGCATCCTCTTTACCAGTGATCATCTGTTCTGGGTGATAGAGCTGTCGGTAGCTGCCAGTTCTGATCTCATCTGTTGAGCAGTTATAGAGATCATAGTGGCCACTAGTAAAAAGCTGAATATATCCATAATTGGTTAACAGATACCATTCGAGAGTTGTGAATATTATATCCGCAATTCGTAATATATAGTATCTTAGTCCTACAAGAGCAAGAAGAAAGGATTTTAAACAGGCTTTCATCTTGGTGCTACAAGAGCAAGAAGAAACAATTTTAAATAGCCTACCATCTTGGTGCTACAAATAGCAAGAAGAAAGGATTCTAAATATTTCCAGTAATTCTGTTGAAAGTTCAGAGACTTCACACTCATGCAGCGGACTCTTTTACAGTGTTATAGATAGGCAGCGACGCCATTGTCTTTAAACAAACGTTAAAAACTTGAGCTTAAGTACCAAGAGTGTGCACCATGAGTGTGCACCAAGAGTGTGCACCAGCAATGTACATTAGACTTGTAAACCTACCAACAACAGTAGGCTCCAGATCGATGAACACGGCTCTGGGCACATGTTTTCCTGACCCAGACTCACTGAAGAAAGTGTTGAACGAATCGTCGACGCCACCCCCAACCCCTTTGTCCAGTGGCATTTGTCCATCTGGCTGGATCCCGTGTTCCAAACAGTACAGCTCCCAGCAGGAGTTACCCATCTGGACTCCGGCTTGGCCGACGTGAACGGAGATACATTCACGCTGGAAATATGAAAGCAAAAGAAAAACAGGACGCGTAATTAAAATATGATAGTTTAAGAAATTAAAAAGTATTTATGTGGGACGCTTGAAACATTTTTTTGGGGGGTTAAATTTTCATGACTAGTGACCCTAGGAAGTGTTAAAACAATTTATAATTAGCTGGGTTTAAAATACATTATTGGAGATTCAATGGTAACTGTTGTGTGACCATATTTTTTGTTTAAATCCGACCTTTCAATGAGGAATACAATTGCAATATTTTGACTTACCATTTTGGGAGTTTGGTTCTTGTACTGTGTCAAGGTGTCCAAGTGTATCCCAAGTGTGGTAAGGTTTATCCAAGTGTGGCAAGGCTTATCCTAGTGTGGCAAGGCTTATCCTAGTGTGGCAAGGCTTATCCTAGTGTGGCAAGGCTTATCCAAGTGTGGCAAGGCTTATCCTAGTGTGGCAAGGCTTATTCAGGTGTGGCAAGGTTTATCCAAGTGTGGCAAGGTGTAGCTGACGCGCCAGGCAGTTCTCAGTTGTTTTATGCTTGACCGAATGATCACGTGTTGTTGTCTGGTTGTTGTTTTTTGTTGTTTGTTTTTAATGTGTTTTTTTGGATCAGGTTGTGAGGTGTAAACCAGGGGTTCTTAAATTGTCATTGACCAGCCACACTAAAAAAAATTTCGGAAATCACAAATAATTTTGTTTGATATAGCATTTTAATATGAACAATACATAATTCTATGTTTGTAATAAAAAAAAAAGAAGACCTCGTTAAAATGGCGTACATAAATTTCTAGGGAAATGCAATGTAAGCATGTGTAGAACAGCGGAGAACCATTAAAACACATAATATAGAAATAGAAAGTCAGATGAACAAGACTGAAATGTTCACACGAGACACATTCCACGTGCCGAGGCAAACTGAGGACATAAAGGCGACCATTGGCACAAAAAAAACAACAACAAAAAACGCGCTCCAAGTCCCAGCAAGCGGGAGAAATCTGTTTTTTTAAGTGACAAAAATTTAGGACAGCTATTCTAATTTAGGTAGTTATAGAAAATTGTTGCTTAATGGAGAGAAGTAAAATCAGCTTTAAGCCGAATCGAATTTTTTTTTTCAAGTTTACAATTTCTTTATCCAGGTCTCCCTTCAAGTTGTGCCACGTCATGCCGTAACACTCGGTACGCCTCTGGTGTGCGTCTGGTCCCACCCTCTGTACGCCTCTGGTCGACGTCTTGCCACACCCTCGGTACGCCTCTGGTCCGCGTCTTGCCCCACCCTCGGTACGACTCTGGTCCGCGTCTTGCCACACCCTCGGTACGCCCCTGGTCGACGTCTTGCCACACCCTCGGTACGCCTCTGGTCGACGTCTTGCCACATCCTCGGTACGCCTCTGGTCGACGTCTTGCCACACCCTCTGTACGCCTCTGGTCGACGTCTTGCCACACCCTCGGTACGCCTCTGGTCGGCGTCTTGCCACATCCTCGGTACGCCTCTGGTCGACGTCTTGCCACACCCTCGGTACGCCTCTGGTCGACGTCTTGCCACACCCTCGGTACGCCTCTGGTCGACATCTTGCCACACCCTCGGTACGCCTCTGGTCCTCGTCTTGCCACACCCTCTGTACGCCTCTGGTCGACATCTTGCAATGCAACAGTTTTAAATTAGGAACCCAGGGATTATGTTTCTGAAACGAAATTTTGAGACCCCATGATGAAAAAAAAAAGAATGACTTTAAAAGCAATTTGAATGATGCCCATGGCAAGTGAGCTCCGAACTCATGTTACACGAGACACAAAAATAACACATTAGACAACAACATCAGCGACTAAAAAAAAAAAGGAAAAAAAAAAGGGGGAGGGGGATAAAATTCATGATTTCCCAGAAGTGAGCGCCGGGTAAAAAATTGGTTTTAGTATTTAACAAAAAAAAAAAAAGAATGACTTTAAAAGCAATTTGAATGATGCCCATGGCAAGTGAGCTCCGAACTCATGTTACACGAAAAACAAAAAAAAAACATTAGACAACAACATCAGCGACTAAAAAAAAAAAGGAAAAAAAAAAGGGGGTGGGGGATAAAATTCATGATTTCCCAGATGTGAGCGCCGGGTAAAAAATTGGTTTTAGTATTTAACAAGGCAATACATATTATGACAAGAGTTCTACACGAAGACCAACTTCAGAGAAACCTTTCGGAACGCTCCCTTTGTGGTTGATCGTGCTCCGCAAGCGAATATAACCACGTCTATATTCGACATTGGCTCGCGAGTCCTATCTGTGCCTGGAAAGATTTTCTGCGTGTAGGACACAACGTTTTTAAGGTCATTTAAAAGTCTTGTTGCTGTACAAAAATCGTTGACCAGTGAGAGCAGCTAGCAGTGGTTGGCGGGACCCAAAGCACCCAAAACGAGGCCCCAGCAGAGTATTTATGATGTTTTACTTTCTCTAATTTAGTGCCATTCGTCTTTGTTTTTTTTTTTTTTTAAATGTTAACATCGTAACGCCGAGGGGGTCTCACATTATAAGCGAGAAGACAAAGAATGAGAGCTTGCAATGAAGAAGAAGGTCAAGCCTCGTTAGCACACGTATGTCTAGTATCTGGTTGCAATCTGTTCCTCCTTCGAGGTTTCATGAACTGGTCTCAGGGGCCACCAGGGAATGTGCAATGATTAAACCAAACGTTACTACGGATTTCACTGAAATGGAAATTCACAGCAACTTTGCGCCTTTGCCTGAGGTTTTCGTAAGTGCACGTGGCCCATGACGAAAACAAAAAAACATGACACGTTATAAAGAGTTACTGGCATTCAATATTTTACATGGGTTAGAGGCTAGACTTAACGCGTCGGATGGTAAGGTGGTTGACCTCAATCTCACCTCTTGTCTCGTCTTTTGTGCTTTTTGAATCACTTGTGGTGTAGTCCAGGGGTTTGGGCAGTGTGGGGGGGGGGGGAGGGTTCACCCAGGGGATTCTCCTCCCCGGGTTTTTACCAATGGGGTTTGGGGAGGTGGGGGGGGGGGGGGGGGAGAGTTCACCCACGTGATTCTCCTCCACGGGTTTCTACCAATGGACTCAGGCCGGGTCTGTCCTTGACACTTCTTGTGCCAGCCTGGTTACACGGTGAGCTTGAAATCAAACAAAATCTGAGCTACACGGAGGAGGTGATCAAGCAGGTGAGGGGAATTCAGCAATAAGTACTTTAAATAAGTTATACACTGTATTTCTGTATGTTTGACACTTTGGTTCTGTGTAAAAATATACTTGTTGAATGGTGGCAAGCTTTTAGGTCAAACACACATGGCATTTGGAAATAGAACTATGGAAAACAGCGGTCCATCTAATGCAGTGTCGTACTACCATCACTGATGTGCAAGGGCGCTCCATTTAATGCAGTATCGTGCTACCATCACTGATGTGCAAGGGCGCTCCATTTAATGCAGTATCGTACTACCATCACTGATGTGCAATGAGAACTCGATTTAATGCAGGATATTACTACCATCACTGATGTAAAAGTGCATTCCATTAAATGCAGTATCGTACTACCATCACTGATGTACAAGTGCACTCCATTTAATGCAGTATCGTACTACCATCACTGAAGTACAAGTGCACTCCATTTAATGCAGTATCATACTACCATCACTGAAGTACAAGTGCACTCCATTTAATGCAGTATCGTACAACCATCACTGATGTACAAGTGCACTCCATTTAATGCAATATCGTACTACCATCACTGAAGTACAAGTGCACTCCATTTAATGCAGTATCATACTACCATCACTGATGAAAAAGTGCATTCCATTTAATGCAGTATCGTACTACCATCAGTGATGTACAAGTGCATTCCATTAAATGCAGTATCGTACTACCATCGCTGATGTGCAAGTGCACTCCATTTAATGCAGTATAGTACTACCATCACTGAGGTGCAAGGGCACTCCATTCTATGCAGCTTCGTACTACCATCACTGATGTGTAAGGACACACCATTTAATGCAGTATCGTACTACCATAATTGATGTACAAGGGCATTCCTTTAATATATGTCCAATAAGGTTCTGCCATCACTAATGTAGGAGGGTGCTCCATTTAAACGCTGTGTTTTAATACCATCACCGATGTACAAGGGCACGCTAATAAATACATGACGGTACTACATCACCGATGTACAAGTGCGCTCTATTCAATGCATTATGATTTTAACATCACTGATAAAGGACAAGAGTTCAATAGCTGAAAGCAACTCTGCGAAAAGCCCTAGAACTGTCAAGAATCGCCGACACTGACAACTATTTAACTCTCTGTATGTGCAGTCATGTAGCATGCATGACATATGCTTAAGTCATCCCTCGATGTTCAATGATTTAAATAATTTGACATTATTTCCCAGAAAGAAAAAAAAAACCCAACCTGGTACAAGCAGCACACTACCATTGACTATACAAGGCAACGTTTTTTTCAAGTTGGGGTCGCCCATAACTGGTGGCCTGTCGTGAAACACTTCATTTACAATTATTGTAATTACTCATTTTTCTTGAAGTATTCACGTCTTGACATTACTGCAAAAGACAAGAAATGGGACTGAATACGGCATGATTGTAAAAACGCCATCAAAAAGTCGAAATGTGATACTTAACCTTGACTGATTGACTGGAGTGGTGATAGCTCTACAGATATATTTTTTTCTGCTCAATGCAAATAGGACCCCCTTGGACAAATCTTCATGTGTCAAAATTTGTTAAATTTCAATATTGCCGTTCCAGTTGATTGAGATGGCCTGGGCATGAAGAGCTTTCCAGGTGGCAACAGGTTAATTAATTCTATGTTAATTCTAAGTTAAGTCTATGTTAATTCTAAGTTAATTCTATTTTAATTCAAAGTTAATTCTATGTTAATTCTATTTTAATTCAAAGTTAATTCTATGTTAATTCTCTGTTAAGTCTATGTTAATTTATGTTAATTCTAAGCTAAGTCTATGTTAATTTATGTTAATTCTAAGCTAAGTCTATGTTAATTCTTTTAATTCTAAGTTAATTCTATGTTAATTCTAAGTTAATTTTAAGTTAATTTTTCCAAGTTTTCTAAAAATGAAATGTCACAAATATTGATCTTTTTCAAACAGACAGGACTTCATCACTTTGGCTGGCATTGATGTTCCCACCTGTCATAATTTGTAACTCATGAATTCTTTTCTTCAGGGTTGCTACAAACAAGAGTACCATCATGCAATGCTAAAGAGTGGAGCATCCGCCTCATGTAGAGTGAGGCCTCTGTAGGGTGAGGCCTCCTCCAAAATGGGGCATCCGCCTCCTCCAGTGTGGGGCATCCACCTCCTGCAGAGTGGGACATCAGCCTCCTGCAGAGTGGGACATCAGCCTCCAGCAGAGTGGGACATCAGCCTCCAGCAGAGTGGGACATCAGCCTCCAGCAGAGTGGGACATCAGCCTCCTGCAGAGTGGGACATCAGCCTCCTGCAGAGTGGGACATCAGCCTCCAG